TAAGCCCTTGTCGAGCCTCCTTCAGAAGGACGTCGACTGGCGCTGGGAGCAAGAGCACCAGGATGCTTTTGACAGCATCAAGGCCAGTCTCCAAGAGGCCCCTGTCCTGGCTCTGCCGGACGAGACGAAGCCGTTTAGCGTCGTCTGCGATGCCTCCGATTACGCCATCGGGTGTGCATTGCTGCAGGACGACACGGCTGGACAGGAACGAGTCATCTCATTCCAGTCCAGGCAGCTCAAAGCCGCCGAGCGGAACTACCCTGTCCATGACAAGGAGCTCCTGGCAATGAAATATGCCCTTGTGAAGTTCCGTGTTCACCTTCTGGGCTCTACGCCCTTTGTGATCTACACAGACCACGCGTCCTTGAGGACGGCGACTAACTCGCCTCACCTCTCCCAACGGATGGCGAGGTGGCTGTCCTTCTTCGCGGAATATAACTTCCGCGTCGAGTACAAGCCGGGCAAGCTCAACGTGCTTGCGGACGCCCTCTCTAGGCGTCCCGACTATGAGTTGGCCCACATCACGCGGGTGACAACGGATCTATATGATCGGATACGCATGGCGTATCGGGACGATGAGGCTGTCGCGCCTATCGTCAAGTTCCTTAAGGCCGGAACGAGCGCGAAGTCCGACTGGCTCTCGTCGCGACAGCGCTCACGGCTCCACCGATATGAGTTGAAGGAGGGCCTCCTCTATTATCGGGTGGAGCCCACTGATTCTCCACGGGTGGTCGTACCCAACGACGAGGATCTGAAGTTCGACATCCTCGCGGAGGCGCATGACGCGCCCTCCAGCGGCCACTTGGGCCGCGAGAAGACCTTTCTGTCGGTCTCTCAGTCCTTCTGGTGGACCCACATGTACAAGTGGGTCGCCCGGTACGTCAAGACATGTGAAACATGTCAGCGGGTTAAACCCGCAGGGCACTCTTCGGCTCCACTACAGAGCCTGCCCGTACCGGCTGATTGTTGGAAGTCGATGAGTCTTGACTTCATCTTTGGGCTTCCCGCCGACGGACACGGCAACACCGGAATTTTGGTGTTCGTGTGTCGGCTGAGCAAGATGGTACATCTTGCTCCAGTTCCCGTCACTGTGACGGGCGAACAAACCGCAAGGTTGTTCGTCGATGGCGTGTTCCGCTATCACGGTCTCCCGGAGACGATTGTCTCGGACCGAGACCCGCGGTTCACTGCTGCGTTTTGGAAAACGCTGTTCCCTTTACTGGGAACTCGTCTGCAGATGTCCACTGCGGATCATCCGCAGACAGACGGCCAAACAGAGCGCGTCAATCGAGTGCTCGAGGACACTCTGCGCAGTGTGTGCGCGGCAGCGCCACGTACGTGGTCGACGCAGCTTCCAGTTGTTGAGTTTGCGCTCAACAACGCGGTGCACGCGTCCACGGGGTTCACGCCGTTCTACTTGAACGGCTTCCGCCACCCCAGAGTGCCTCTCACTCTTCGAGGAAACACTGACTCCTCTATTCTAAGTGGGGGAGAGGCTCGGAAAGCCCTTTCCTCCCAGGTCTCGGATGTGAGGCCAGTTTCGCTGCGGAAACAGGTGGAATCCTTTATGGATACCAAGCTGAACATTGTCAGCAGGGTCCGCGATGCCATGGCAGCGGCCCAAGATAAACAAAAGGAGTACTCGGACAAACAAGGAAGAGGAAACTTAAGTATATTTGAGATTGGTGACTTAGTGTTACTAGACACGAGGAACCTACCTCTAGACACTGTTAGCTCTGTCGGCAGCAACAAGCTGAAGCACCGCTTCATCGGACCTTTTGCAGTCCTGGCCAGACATGGTGCGTCGTACACCATCGACCTTCCAAAGTCAATGACGACGCACCCGACGTTCTATGTCGGACGTCTTAAGCGGTACTTTGACCCGCAGGGGGTTGCTGACTCGCAGACCCCCCTTGACCCAGCTCCTCGAAGCGAGGGCCGGTCACAGTCGTCGACGAGGGCGTCGGAGCAGGCACCCAAGCCTCGGTCGGGACGGCAAGGCTGCGGTCAAGACCGTACGCCGGAGGGGCTCCATACGAACGGACCCCGGCGCCATACGCCGAGTACGCTGAGTACGCCGGGTACGCACCATACGCGTACGTCTGGGAGTGTGCCGCAGGCGGCTCCGGACGTGGCAACAAAGCCTTGATCCGTCGGATCATGCGAAAGGCCTTGTCCAGATCGGACGAAGAGGCCCGGCGGTCCACCCGCAGGTGCAGGCTCGCGACCTCTCGCTCCACCAGGTCCAGGCGACCCGCAAGACGAGCGAGCTCGCCCTGATTCCCGGCCTGGGCGGCAGCATTACCGCCAGTCCCAAGGCCAAGTGCAATCTCAAGCACGAGGAGACGTTGACGGAGGCGGTCAACCTCAGGGTCCCGTGTCGGACCCGCAGTCGGAGCACTCGAACGAGAGTGGCTCTCGGGAGGCGCCGAGTACTCGTACTCGTACGAGGGCACCTCCGCCCCTGCTTGACCGGAATGGAGAAGTCCACTTCCACGTGGAGCGGATCCTCCAGGAGCAACGGTGTCGCGGGAAGCGACAGCTCCTCGTGAAGTGGAGGGGTTATGCCCACTCCGAGAACTCGTGGGAGCCGATTGAACGGCTCCTGATTGACTGCCCGAAGGCTGTCGCAATCTGGGAACAGAAGCGGCGGCAGCTTCATAAGTAGTCCGGGGCTTCTTGCCCAAACCGGGTTACGGATGATGAATACATACCGTACCCGCGCTCATCGTGAGCGCTAGAAGCCGCGCTTCAGGATGTCCCTTGGCAGCATACGCTTGCTGATCAAGTGGGCAAACCTCACACGAAGATCACGCTGGTCCAGGATGTGGGACAGCTGCTGATCTTCATGGAGTTCCCATAACTCCGTGGGCGAGTACTTGAGAGTCTCCACCCACGCCCAGAACATGTCCTCACAAGAACTCCATGTGGGACAGTTCTCGGGCATAACCCAGGGGTATCCCCAAACAGGATAGAGACCACCCCGGGTCTCGGGCTTCTTACGACAAGTCGTGAAGTCCTTAAGGGGAATGCGGTGTGGCGCGAGAAGCACACACCGAGCAGCCTTCACGTTGTCGACGAACAACTGTTCTTTCTGAACAAGGGCTCGTTCATAGATGCCCCTAGAAGTGTGACCGCCCACAAGGCCACGAGGAGCGACGAGAAGCTCTAAGAAGAGGTCAGCCCCAGAGCTCTCCTCGGGAGGCCAATACCCTCTTGAGTTGATGGCAGCTCCCTGGCTGACGGGTGCCGCCACCGAACCCCCACGCACACGCTGGGCAGCTTGGAAATCCTCCTGCTGCTGGTCGAGGTCATTCGAGACCTCCCGGGGCTCAACAATGGCACCCTCCTCTTCCTCTTCTTCCTCCTTCTCCTCCTCTTCATCCGAGGAGCCGAAGAGACTCTGATAGGAGCGTCGAGTCTCCTTCTCCTCGCGGAGTGGAGACTTAGAGGCGGTACGCTTCTTTGAGGGCTTGGCGCCTTCGGCTTTAGAGGCCTTAGCGCGCGCAAGACCCTCGGCAAGCGAGAGACGTTTGCGAGGACTCCCTTCCTCATCGCCACCGGCTTTGGGAGTGCCCTTAGCCTTAACGGCCGGACTCTCAGAGCGCACAGAGGTCCTGGGACTGTGATCACCGTGATCACTAGCGGACGACTGCACGCTGTCTTCTTTGTGCTCACTGGGCACTGGGCTGTGCCCTCCCACAGAGCCCGCAGGAGCATCATGAGTGCTCTCGGACTCGGCATCGTCCTCACTGCCCGAGTTGAACTCACGTTCTACGAACCGAGGGTTCGGACGATTGTCTGAAGACGAGGGCGACGGACTGCGGCGCCTGCTTGCGCGCTTGTCCGCAGCCGTGTCACCCGAGAATCCGATCGCCTCGGAGGCCACCTGAGTAGCCTCCTTAAGTGCAGAGCCTTTGCCGTGAGGCTTAGTGCTCTTGGCCTGCGCCTTACCGGCTGCAGCCTTGGAGCGTGTCTTAGCACCGCTCTTAGCAGTGCCACGAGGCATGTTAACGGTCGAAGTGGAGACCTTGACGAAGAGCGCACAGGTTGCTGCTCGAGGCTCTAGCTGTAAAGTGAGCCTCCGCCGCGCTCGCGCGGCCGAGTCGATGGTTTTCGACTTTGAGAATGAGAGTTTGTGACGAACATCTCTTCATTCTGATTGGTCGGTAAACCGAACCTAAGTGGGGGAGGATGTTACGGGGTACGTAGCACTAAGTGTACCCTGGTTACATGAAGTGTGACACTTCACACTTCAGGAGTATGACATGTCATACTCCGGGATATTTGGTACAAGGTACCAAGGTCATTCAAAACCAACCATTGGTTAAATGACATTGCATTTCTATAGGTAATGTATTAACCTCAAACTTAACCTACCTATAAATATACTCAGTTTACAATCTACCTTATTTAGGTCACTTCGCTCTCTTTAATTAAAGAGGGGACCTGTGAACTGCCGTTCACTGAGAGTTTGTATACTCTCGGAAGATAACTTCCTCTAGCGCAAGGTGCTGTGTGACCCCGTCACATAAAGAGTGACCCGTCACTCTTATGGACACCTGGTACACGGTACCAAGTGCTCTAGGAGCCAGTCAGGGCGTGACTACTTAGCTCCACTATAGGTAGCCTCTAGTTTGTAAAGGATCCACGTTAAACTTACTTATAAATACATCAGTCTTGCATCGACTCTATCAAGTAGCAAACCGTTCCCACTGAGGCCGGGAACACGTGGAGTAACGCTCACTCGGGTAGTAAATACCCCTTAATCACTTTCTCTGTGCAAGGTGCTGTGTGACCCCGCCACAGTTTTGGGCAGCGTCCAATGGCACAAATCTGCTATTCACTAGGGATGAATAAAACCCACTTATGTACGAGTTCAGTACGATCGGTGCCGTTTCAAAATAGCAGAAACAATTTAAGCGAGTCATTCATTGAAAAGGACCAAAACGGCAAATTTGGTCGGAATTCATAATTCACCAAATGTGTCAAAATTTAGAATGGCATTCGTGTTGCACGAAGGTTGTCTTATCAAAAGCCGCAGCATCCCGACCACCGTCAATATGGCTCGCAGTCCGTCACGCTCGCGCTCCCGTTCGCGCAGCCGCCACGCAGCCGACGACGAACGCGCAGTCCGTCCACCTCATTGTCGGCCTCTTCCTCCTCTTCACGCTCTCGTTCCCGCTCCAGCTCCCGCAGTGCGTCGCCGCCCCCGCGCAAGAAATATCGGCGAAAGTCACGCGAGGATGCAAAGACGCCACCCAGAATGCGAGGTGGTGTATCGGGCGATGCTACGCCCCCGCGCCGTGCAAAAGATGACAGATCTGACGCCACGCCCCCGCGACGCTCTTTGAAGCAGGGGGTCAAGAAGGAGGACACTCCGGATACCAAGCCAGCTCGAAAGAGGACACTTCTGGTGGACGCTCGCTCCAGTGGACGCACCGGTGGTGTCTACATCCCGCCGTTTAAGCTAGCGCAGCTGCGAAAAGAGCAAGAGAAGGACCTTGGGCCGTCCTCTGAGGAGATGCAGCGTCGCACGTGGGACGCACTGCGCAAGAGTCTCAACGGCCTCATCAACAAGGTGAATGTAGCCAACCTGAGCAACATTTTGCCCGAACTCTTCCAGGAAAACCTGGTACGAGCCCGCGGGCTACTGGCCAGAGCTATAATGAAGGCGCAACTGGCATCCCCGGGCTTCACGCACATCTACGCGGCTCTAGTGGCCGTGATCAACACTAAAATGCCCGAGAACGGCGAGCTGCTGGTCAAAAGAGTCGTGTTTCGCTTTCGTCGAGCCTTCAAGAGAGGAGACAAAGTGGTAGCCATTGCTCTCGTGAGGTTTATCGCCCACCTCGTCAACCAGCAGGTCGTTCACGAGCTACTGGCGCTCGAGGTGTTGACGTTGCTATTGGCCAACCCGACCGACGACTCGGTGGAAGTTGCAGTGAATTTCACGAAGGAATGTGGACAGCTCCTGGCTGAATTGTGTCCCGAAGGCCTGCGCGCCATCTTTGAGCGTTTCCGAGGCATTCTACACGAAGGAGAGATCGACAAGAGAGTGCAGTACACGATCGAAGGGCTGTTCGCTATCCGCAAAGGCGGATTCGTAGACTACCCAGCTGTGTACGAACAATTGGATCTGGTCGAGTCTGGAGACCAGATCACACACGAGCTGACGCTGGAGGATTCGATTGACTGCGAGGACAAGTTGGACGTATTCCGCTTCGACCCGGACTATGAGAAGAACGAAAAGTTGTGGGCGGAGATTAAGAAGGAGATCTTGGGAGAGTCCGACTCGGATGCCGATTCTTCCAGTGGCAGTGACGACGACGGAGATGACGAGGAGGAGGAGGAGGAGGAGGGGGATGGACAGCTAGTACCTGCCGACAACAATATGGCGATCCAGGACTTTACAGAGCAGGATCTCGTGAATCTGCGTCGTACGATCTACCTGACGATCATGTCCAGTATCACACACGAGGAGTGTGCGCACAAGCTGATGAAGCTCAACATTCGTCCTGGTCAGGAGAAGGAGATCTGCTCGATGCTCCTTGAATGTTGCAGTCAGGAACGGACCTATCTGCGCTACTATGGGCTGCTCAGTGAGCGGTTCTGTCTCATCAAGCGCGAATATCAGGATGCTTTTGACGAGTGCTTTGCTGAGCAGTACTCGCTGATTCACCGTCTGGAGACCAACAAGCTTCGCAACGTGGCAAAGCTGTTCGCTCACCTGCTGTTCACAGACGCGCTGCCATGGACCGTGTTTGAGTACGTTCGCTTGAACGAGGAGGAGACGACGTCATCCAGCCGTATTTTCATCAAGATTTTGTGCCAGGAGCTCTCGGAGCATCTCGGCATGAAGACACTGAAGGAGAGATTCCTGGACGAGATCATGCAGCCGACGTTCGCCGGACTGTTCCCCAAGGACAACCCTCGCAACACGCGCTTTGCCATCAATTTCTTCACATCGATCGGTCTTGGTGGACTCACGACAGACTTGCGCGAGTATCTGAAGAATGCACCGAAGATGATCATGGAACAGGCGAAGGCTGCGGCGGACATTAGCGACAGTAGCGACTCGGATTCGGATTCGGATTCGAGTGATAGCAGTAGTAGCAGCAGCAGTTCTTCGGATTCGGACTCGGATTCGGACTCCAGCAGCGACTCGTCCGATTCCGACTAAGCAGAAAACAGGCTACAGCACTCGAAAGTAAATATCTGGAATGTGGGGTTGTGCGTAGAAGCTGAGATTTAAACACTGCATAGTTTTTCCGGAATCCTAAAAATACTGAGGGGTGGCGACTCGTCTTGTCTGTTGGTCGTGACACTTCTCGGTTGGTGGTTCGTCGCTTTGCTCCAATGAAAGTCCTGGCGTCTGGTGATACCACGAGGACGCTGGCTGCTCCTCCTGAATCGATTGGATGCCTCGCTTGCCACGGCCGATTCTTCACAGCATCGCTGCGCATACATCAGAAAACTTGTTTCCAACGAAACGCGTTCGTTCTGGTTCCTTGTGAAAAGTGCAAGTCGAGGATTCGGTGCGTAAATGTTTGGGATGGGTGGGCTAACTTTTACGTGATACTAAAATCTACTAGTGCATTTCAGAGCTGGTAACTTTCACACTCATATTGCCTCGTGCACCGGGAAATCTGCCGGGATCCACAGGAACACAGCTGGTTTTAGCGTCAAGAAGCGCAACAATCGGGTGCAAGATGCCCCGATGGATTTCAATCCTCCTGATCCGGATGGACGTGTGCGATGTAAACTCTGCGAGCGAGCTTTCTCGCAAGATCGGATCTCGAAGCACCAATCCGTCTGCCACGGTAAGCCTCGCTTGAAAGAGAATCGCAAACCCAAGCAGCGATCTGAAATGCCAGCTCAACTGGAGTAAGACTCGACAAGGCATCCTGTCAAACGGGCTGCTGAATGCCCTCGAAAGAAAGTTCACTTTCAACGCGTACCAGCATCACAACGTCGTGGGATTTCGTTTGACTTTGTCTCGAACAGAAACAATCGAGTGGAGTATCAACAAGTTCGAGGCACCTCACGGAAAACCTGCAACTATCCAGGGGCACAAGCAATGCAAGGTGGGGGCTGTGATACCTCCAATGCGAGCTCGTTCAGTAACCCTTTAGCTACGAATCCACTCATGTCAATGAGGAGATAACGAGATCATGAAATTGTTACCAATGTTACACTACTCTTTTAAACGCACTCAAACCACCTCCATGAGCATGGCCACTCCTGCGAGTACCCACTTGGTTGGCGGAACTTTCGTCCTGAGTGGTGACATGAAAATCAACGTCGGTCCCCGCTGCTGAGTCCTGTACACTGGACACTCGAACACGTTGCTGGCGCCAGCTTTGCCCCCACCTCCACTCCCTGAGCCACTCGCTTGGTCTTTACTCGCTGTGTTCACGATCGCTCGACACGTGAGCACAGGCATCGACACGTACATTTCCCGGGGTAAACTTGACTCCAGTACACCATTGCCAAAGTCCCAGCGTGCACCTTCGAGGTACAGACCATGAATAAACTGACCATCACGAGCAGGGGCATCCACTGTGTCAATCGTACGCTTGGTCACGTCAGCTGTGATTCGCAGGGAGTCGAGCTCCACGTTGTGCTTGCGAGCTGCCGTCTGGAGCACAGCTGTGAGGAAAGCTTGAGGGTTGAAGAGTCCAGGCAGCCACAGCACCAACGGCAACTCAGGAGCTGATCCGATCCACTCCTGGAGCTGCGCAATTCGTTGCTGTAAGTTGGCCAGCCATGGCGCAAGTGCTCGTCGTGATGGACAGGCGGCGGCCAGCCAGTTATCCGGGACTCGCTCGTAATACAAGAACGTTTGCAGCTTCTCCATAGTCTCAGTGAGTGGGACATCGCCACGGAAGGCCAATTCGAGCTCTGCCAACGATTCTGTCATAGTTTCCAGCAAGTAATTCATACGCTGACACTCTTGGAGCAGCACAGTCTGGAACGGATCCATGTCATCAGCGTCGGGTGTCGCTACAGACGAGAAGAGTCTGCCACCTTTACCTCGTCGCGAAGATCCATCACGCGAGCCAGAGTCGGATGATCCTTTATAGAAAAGCTCTTGGATGTCAAAACGGAAGTCACGGTAGTTCTCAAGGACGTCCTGAAGCACTCCCTCGGCTGCGAGTTGAACTGCGTCGCCAGTCTCCTTCGCTCCAGAGCCTCCAGTGCCTACCTCTTCGTCATCGCTGTTGTCTCCTTCAGCATCTTCGTCCTTTGTAGTGAGAAGCAGCATCGACTGCAACAGAATCTGGCCATTCTCGGTACGGAACGCCACCTCAGCATTCGGATGCAGCCCAAAGGCAGTCGGCGTCTCGTTTAACAGCGACGTGTTCACATGCTCTAGCATGCGATCAAAGCCAGCTGACAGCTTGGGAGCCAGGAACTCGCGACGTTGCTGCCCTCCACTCGGGCCATCTCCATCTCCTCCCCCTCCACCGCTTCCTCCATCCTGCCCACTATTCCCACCGCTGCCGCTTCCTCCACCCGCATCGTCACCAAACGGAAGCATCGAGAGCTCCTCCAACAACTCGTCACGCAGGAAATACTGCAGATACGTCGCAGCCACCAGCCGATCCAGCTCGTTCACAATGTGGCCTCCATACATGATCTCGCCGAACAGATATCGCAGATCTGGCCATGGGACGCGTGCTGGGGCGTTGTCCATGTAGTTTCTCAGTACTGTGCTGCTTGCAAGTAAGTCACTGGCGGCAAATGGGTACAGCATGTTGAAACCTTGCGGGCCAAACTTCTTGCGCTCCAGCATGAGCGAGTGGAAGTAGCAGAGAGCAAACAAGATGCAACGAGTGCGTGGCTCGAGATCATCGACGACGTTCTTGGGGAAGCAGCAGATCGCACGTTTGACGTTGGCACGTAGTCCCGTTGGGGGCTCATTAGTGAGCTTGATGGACCCCTCCAAGACGCCGATGGGGATGTTGGTCGACGGATCACTGGTAATGAACAAGCGAAAGTTCGGATGCAGCGTTCCGATGCCACTGCCCCCTGTGGACGCAGCTCCAACGGGTGGCAACAACGACAACGATCGACTTGTCCCCATGCGAGTGATGTCCTTGCCGCTCGACAGATTGCTTCGAAGCGTGGCGTATGAAGCAGTCTTACTCGCCTTGGCCAACTGCTCCAGCCATTTGTCCAGTTCGAGCATCCACTTGGGCATCAAGTGAACGTTGTTTAAAATCACCCAGTGGCCGTTCTCCACCGACAAATGCAGCGTCTTCATGGCCACTTGCTCTTGGCCTTGACCCAGAGCGATGTTGTGGTAGTCTACGCCCTTAATCCTCTCTTGGTCCTGCACTGCCAGCTTGTCCACATCGGCCACGACATCCGAGCCTGGAGACAGGATAAAGTACATGGGCGTCCATGGAGAACTCTCCTTGAACGCACTCTGCAAGATCGCAAAGCTGTTGAGTTGACTGTCACAATTGAGGAATTGGCTGCCACTAGGGAGCGTCTGGACGATAAAGTTGCTCATTGCTTGCGTCAGTCGATCAGGCCGCAGACACTTGACCACCAACAGCTTCAAGAACGGCGCAGACTTGTCCAACTTTCGCCAATCCAGCGGTAACTTCTCCAGCTCGGGACTTGTCGAGTTGTACCATTCGCGAAAACGCGGCTCGGACTCCTCCAGATCCGACACGAACCTCTCAAAAGGAGCCAAAGCGACCAGAGCTTGCAACGAATGCCACTGAGACTCGTTCAACCACGAGATCGTGTTCTCCGTCCCCACAATCTTTGATCCTTGCAGCAGAAACCGCGCATACTGCGGTTCATATCCACTATTGGCACCGATAACGCCACGACGAAGCAAGAGGAACACCAGTTGCGTCAAGAACAGCAGCTTGTGCTCTTCATAGAGACCTCTCGTGACCATGGAGAAGATGGTCCAGCGCAGCGCCTCCTTCAATACCCCCACACGATCATGAGCTACAGCGCCATTGCTGTGCGTTTCATCTGATGCTGCAGCCGGGGGGGCGACTCCATCCAACGCCACGAAGAAGAACGTCATGTACGACTCGAGCGAGTAGCGATACATGTGGTTCACCTTGCAGAGCTGACTCATCAAGAAGTACATCATACTCGCTTCATTGGCCACAGGGCGGTAGACCTCTCGAGCGAGGTTAATCTCGCGCTCGGCGTCTTTGCCTTTGCGCAATGCGATGCCGACATCAATCGCTGTGATTTTCGTCTTCTCCAGACCTTTGATCAGCGGGACGTCGGACAAAATGTCGTCGGGGGCGTTTGATAGACGCTCCAGCAAGTCGTTTTCAAGCTGCAGTAACTGAATCTGGTAGCCGTTAAACTCTTGCTGGAGTTGACGCTTCTGCGTCTCCAAGTCTGGCTGCTCCAGGTTCACCACATTCGCCAGTAACTGGTCCTCCAGTCCCTTCTCCGTCACACTAAAGTCGATGAGCGTGCAGTACGCCAGGATCTCCGGCCGGTAGTGAGGATTTGGAAGCTTCGTGTGCAGGTACAAGCGGAAGCGAGGGTCCACCTCAATCTCCTCAGCAGCGAATTGCAAGAACCAGTTGCGTCCTTTCTTGTAGATCTGCCGCATGATGACAGGCTCTAGGGATGCGTCGATGGTCTCGCCAAGATTCTCCAGGATGACGCTCTGTCCGCTATTGATTGCAGTTTTCAGCGTATTTGTCCAGTTCTTTTGCTGAGGCTGTAGAATCACCAGAGCTTGGCCAGCAGACTCCTGCTCGTCCTGGCCTTCCACACCTTGAGGTTTCTTGTGTCGAAAGTCACGAGCACGTAGCCAGATAATTCCCTGGAGCTGAGGATCCACAAGAAGCGGCCAGCGCTGACACGACGTGATGATGCACCCATTCTCGATGGAGATACGATCAGCTGGCAATCCTTCGTTCATCCATTGAGCCACGTCGCTGCTGTCACTGAGCACATCAAGCGGGTCGACGCCCGTACTGCCACTCGAGGCTGAGGACGCAGACGTCGATGGTTCGACCGAGGACTCAGCTTCGTCGCCTTTCTCAGCATTCTCAGCTCCATTCGAACCACTCGCGCTCATATCTAAGGGCGCACCAAGTGTAATGGGGATCTCTCGCGTCACGATATCAGGCAACCACGTGTTCTTCCACAGCTGAGCTCGGAAACTCGCGTTAAACGCGCCGATGTAGCTCACAAATCCAGCGGCCAGCAACGAGTCGCCAATGAGCGCACTCTCTCCAGCTCTCAAGGCGTCAATCTCGTGACTCCACCGCTCTTTCTCCGACGCGAGACCGTTCACGAGACGTTCCGCTAAAGACAGTCGCTCTTGACACGCTTGCGCTTCCGCCTCGACTTTCGCCTTCTCGTTCGTAGCATCCCGGAACGAAGCTTGCAGCGCGTTTAGGTGGGCTTCGACCTCGGCCACCATCTTCTGCACCGACGCTAGCTCACTGTCCGCTTCAGCTTTGGTCTGTCGAGCCTTCTCGAGCGTATCCATCAATGGCTTGACGCGCACAAAGACCTGGTGGAACGAGATGATGTTGACGACCCACACGCACAAGTTGGCGGCGGCGACGGACTTGCTCTTCATCTTTTCGTAGTTGAAGTTTGGGTCTTCTTGGATCAGTGGCTCCACACGCGCTACGACGTCAAGAGGGATGTTCTCCTTGTCGTATTGCTCCAGAGACTGCTTGAAGACATCCACCTTTGCCATCATCTTCTTGGCGTTGTCCCAACTGAAGTTCTTGGTCTCTTTCTTGACCATCATGAGAACTGCGGCAGTCACCTTCTCCACGCCCGCAGGAGGCTTGCCCATGGACTTGAGTTCAGTCAGTGACGCCTTGTTGAGGCAGTTCACAGCTTGCTGGGCGGCATCCAGAGCAGGTTTGGCGATTGCAAGCTCAACTGACGCCTGGGCTTCAATTTGGGAAGCGATTTCGGCTGCCTGAGCGGCCTTGGCGCGCTCTTCATCGGCCCGACGCTGGTTCACTTCGGCATCTCCTCGCTGCTTCCCCATCTGCTCCAACAAGAGATCTGTCGCCTTCTTCCGCTCTTCCACCTTCTTCATTGTCAGCTTGAGCTCGTCTTGCAGCCCTGCGACATCCTGCGAGGTCTTCTTCAATGTAGCCAGCCCCACTTCAAGGCGCTTAATCTTCAGTGTTTGCGACGATCGCTTGGCTTCCAACAGCGATCGATAGAATCGAATTAGCTCCAAGAAAGACGTCGGAGTCACGTAATTGTGGCGTCCATAGCTCTTCGCATACATTGTGCAAGCTGTTGTCACTGACATGTGCAACTCGGCCATGTGGTGGCAAACATTCTCTTGGATCGCACGTGTAGCTAGCTCGACGTCTTGGAGGAAGTTGAGCGACACATCCACCAGCGCTTCTTTCGGCCACGGATGGAACCAATCCATAGTACAACAGCCCATTAGAGACGGGAAGTTCCTGCATCGAATGCGCAGATCGCCGCCCACGGGTGAGAAAGCCAAGATGAGGTGCAGATTGCCGCGTACTCGATCGTAGAAAAACTCTTGCAGTTGCTCCTTCGTGTCTGGGATCCCACGCGCCTTTGCCTCCATCCGTAAAGACCCAGCCATGGACTCCATCTCTTCGCTGGAAAAAAGATCTGCAATGCATCCGGAAGTCAACGCGTCCGTCAGTGGCACCAAGAAACGATTGTCAGTGATCTGCGAGTCCGTGAGAAGCAGGACAATGGGCTTTGCTGGTCGGATGCCTGCTTTGCGGTAGATGTCCTTGAGGTCTTCTTTTAGCTCGCTCATCCCGTACGACGGGGAAGCACTCGTAGTCAGCGACACTAAACTGTAGCCACAGATGAACGCTGCCAGACGTGACAAGGACTGCTTTCCCGATCCACCAACGCCAATGAGCAGCGCATTCCCTAGCGGGTTTGCCAGGACACGAACGATGCGCGTGACATGCTCCAGAGCTTGATCAAACAACACCAGACTCATCACCGGATGCGTCTCGTTGTACTCCGCCAGCTTCCGCTCCAAGCAAGCTGTGAGTTGGCTCTTGTCGACTACAGGAACGTAACTGAGAGTGGAGCCTCCGTATTCTCCTTCCATCGACATCGATGAAGCTCCCAGGAAGTTCACACAGATAAGAGGCGCTGCAAAGATCTCGCCTTGGTCCTCTTCAAAGTTCTTTTTTGTCTGCTCCACTGCCATTTCAGCAAACCTCTGAATCTCACTAGGAGAACTCATGCGGTCGCTGAAGACGCGGAAGCACTCGTGAATCCAGAGACGACAGAACTGCAATGAGTTATTCAGGTACGCTTCTGGTCGCGCCATGAAGAGGCCTTGGAACAAGGAGCTTAGCTCGCGCATGCTAAACACATAGTGGAACTTCGTGGCTGTTGCGAGGAAGTTCGCGCGCACCTCCGTGTACAAGTCAATCGTCGCAGTGATGATGGAAGGAGCGAGCTTTTTGATCTTGTCAGAAAACCCCGTCAAGTGCTGATGGAACAGCGCGGAGTAGATGGCCGCGAGGTCCTGCTTGGACGGCATGCTGATGCATAACGTCGAGAAGTGACGATGTAGACGAGGGTTAACTGTGAACGACCCGGCCTTATGGTTCATACAGGCAAGGAACTGGACGTCGTGGATGAGCTTCTTCGACGAAAGATCATGGCGGTCGTACCACGAGTGGTAATCCATATATTGGCGCAAAAGTGCAAGAGCTGTCTGCGTCCCGAACTCCTCGACAAACGGCATGTTGAGGTCATCCAAGAAGTAAATGAGCTTGCGGTTGTAAAGCGGTCCGTACACACGACCCGATCGCTTCTCCATATATTGTTCCAGGCGAGCTTGCAGTTCACGTGCGTTCATGTAGTGGTGCATGCTCACATAGGCAAAAGCAGTGTCATCTTCCAGCCCTTTCATGTGTTCATGAAGCAGCAACGACTTGCCTGATCCGCTGCAGCCCACCAGAATCGCCGGGTTCCTCTTACGCACCAGCAAGTCAACGATCGAGTGCACACGAGTAGATTCCATAGTGGGGACTGTAAGCGCATGGAATGACACGTCCCCGATGGGCGTAAGCGACGGGATCTTGTCACCCCAGTGAATTAGCTCGTTGCGCGTGATGTCGTAATAAAAGTCAAAGAGATTCGCGTTGTTACTCGCCAGCATCGCCGCACTATTCGCGTCAGCAACGTTTGTAGCTGATCCGGCGTTACTTGATGCAGAGGCAAACTTGTACTTGGCAACAGTCTTAAAGTACGTAGAGAACGCGGCGCAATCATCTGTTCCTTTGTCGGTGGATAAAGCACCGCCAAACGCCCACAGTCCACAATAGATAAAGGCATTCTCCAGAACTTCAGGCGTTTTCTCGTGCTCAGCCACCAAACTCAGCAATCCATCCAGCAGACGACAAAGCATTTCTACGAGTGCGATGGAGACTATTGGCACGATCGTCTCTGCTTTTGTCTCATCCAAAGCGGAGAACATGGCGTCCACGTGTTTCATAAAGAGACCAGGAAGGATGCCTGCCTCGGCACTGCTCTCACGCTGCTGCAGCCAGGACTCCACAACAGGTAACCAACCGACGTGGCCTTCATCGACGTAGATGATGCCTGCGCGTGACACGGTCGCAGGTGTTGCGTTCACGAGCGACGCGATTTCAAACACCAATCTCATGGACTTTGTCAACGGTATACGCTCGTTCGATACCAGCGTAAGGACCTTGTTGTCGTCCATCACCGTGTTCATGCTTTCGATCCACACAGCATCAATATCGCCGTCCAAGACGACCCATTTGTACGTCTGCGCTTCGCTAAATGGCGCCACGTTCTTCGACATGTTGCGCATGATCGACGACAGAACTCCGTCTTTCCAGTCGTTATCGAGAGTCATATATCCGTACAACTCGTCCGCTGTGATGGACTTCGGGTTGACGCTCTCACACACGGTCAAGTGCTTCGCCAACGCATTCCCTTCGTCATCGGCGTTGTGACAGGCAGCAAGTGTGTTCCAGATCGTGCTTTTGCCGCATCCAGCTGGCCCAATGAGCATCACGCTGTGTCGAACCTTGAGGACTTCTTCGTACTCCATCATCTTCTTGAGGAACCCCTCTTCAGGCTGGAGCTTCTTCTGCGCGCACACCCGAGCGCATTTTGTCTGCAGAGCGTCGTTCTTGAGGTGAGGGAGTTCTCCTTTCGGGAACAAATCTCGTAGTAGTCCCATAAAGACTGGATAGTCTGGCGGGAGAATCCGTGGCGTGTTAAAGTCTCGAAGCACTTGCATCAGTACTGTCTCTTCCGACAGGGTGGAGTGGGCACGACGCAGACTGCCAGCGACGAGAAGGACCGACTTGACGGAGCGTAAGCCCCAGTCGTAGTGTTTCTGCTTCGATAGCAACTCACTGCTTAGATTGTACAGCGTCACAAACTTGGCAGAGAGCATGCGTGCCTTTAGAAATCCCTCGGCCATGAGCATGTTCTCACAAATAGGCTGCAAGTCCGGTTTGATCATGGCGCACGAGCGGAACAGGGCCTTCAAGTTCTCCGGTAGCTCTGCTCGACCAGCATACCCCGGATTCATCGTGATAAAGAAGCCAACAGTCGGCACCAACGCGATTGTCTTGCCGAAGAACTCGCAATTGCCTGTCCGTGGCATTGCCACGGGTTGCTGAGCGCTTCCTTCCACTCCTGACGAACCAACGTCACCGGTGCCAGACGACGGTACACGGTTCGTTGACGCCACCAGTAATGTATTAGCATCTAGTACAGTCTTCACTTGGGTCGCCACCATCGACAAAGCCTCGACCGAGATGCGATTGAACTCGTCAAAGCAGCCCCACGCTCCAGTCTGCGCTAATCCTCGGAAAATGTTGGCCATCGTCAAGTAATTCATCTGGTCGCTGCAGTTGAAGACGTAGCATTGCAGGCCCATGCCACGAGCTAGGTCCTTAGTCGTCTCGGTTTTCCCAGTACCTGCTGGACCTGCAGGCGCTCCTCCAAGACACAGCCGCAGCGCTGTAGTAAGAGTGACGTAGCAACGGTCAGTCAGAGGTGTGATCACCAAGCGCCCGCAATTGCCTGTGTACTCGTAGCTGTAGAAGGAGCGGAAGTCGCAGATCTTAATGTGCACTTCCTTCTTCTGGCCTGCGCTGGTCAACACTGGTGTCGTGTAGTAGCGTAGTTGCGACTGCCACTGGAAGTCCAATGAGCTCGAGACTTTCTTGGTGATCAACGACTGCACCACGTCCCGCGCATGGACGTCAACAGTAATAAGAGTGATGATCTTCTGGCGATTTAGCGCACCCAGTTGGCCCTGAACCAGCTTAATCAGCTCCTCCAATCGCACTGTTGACACCTCGTAGTATTTCTTGATGGCGTCTTCCGTGTCATTCTCAAACTCCTCCAAAGCGAGTTCAACCTCCTCTGTCCAAACGATCTGACTCCCCAGCAGCGCAACTTGCGCCGGGTAATCAAAGACCCACGTGTGGCGAGCGCAGTCTACCCCCCACAGAGCACTGCTCTCGACTGCCTCGAAGATCTTCTGCCGCAACGTATCCTGCATCACGAACACCAGGTCGTTGAACCAGTTTTCCACTGTTCCATGGATTAAATGCGAGTCCGGGAACTGCACCACTTCGCCTTCCTTCGAGACCATCGCCATGGCCAAGAATCGTTCTTCCAGTGAGGCAGACGACGCATTTAAAAACATCTTTCGGCCTGACAAACCTCCTCCAGACGAATGCTTCGATTCTAGAGCTGACTGGGCGCTGACAAACTCAAACGACTCGATGCCGTCGAAGCAGTTGCCAAAATGGGGCTGGATACGAGGCGGGTGGTTGCCGTTTGACAAGATTTCAAGTAGCGACGCAGTGGAGACGAAGTAGAACCGCGGGAAAATGTCCTTTTTACCGTTTAAGTACTGGTTGAGGGCCTTCTGGCAGATCTCCAGCTCTATTTGCAGGTAACGCAGCACAGCTTCACGCCCTTCGCGTTGACAACAGGCCACCAGCACCGATGGAGACATGCGTGCGTCTGCAAAGAGCTCCTTCATGGCCTCGTCAACATGTTCAAAGCGTTGATACTCTGATGGCAACTGGCGTTGAATATCGCCCGCCGAGCTTAGGAAAATGGACTCCAAACTGCACCATTGGCGCTGGAGCGTAACCCACAGCTTCAGGATCGTATCGACATTGCCCAACCGCAACTGCCACTCGAACACCTTGTCTTTAAAGTAGGCAACAAACTTCCCCGTGGCGGCCATCGTTTGCAGCTGAAGTTGATGCTCCTCCAGACACTCAATGATGACGTTTGGCATCTTCAAAATCATGATATCACCCTCCAGTACTTCGCCTGCTGCTTCTGGAAGCACATTCGTACTTGACGTCGCGTCGTTGCTACCGACTAAAATGGCAGACTCACGGCTGTGGTCGCCACCGGAAGGTGAAGCCTTGCTTCCTGCCGTTTGGTATGGAACGAACTCAAGTTGGAATCCGCTCCACGTCGTGTCAATCGACTGCAACTGCTGCTCGATCTTGAACTCTCTGACCGCCACCTCCACAAGCTCAGTGACTTCGCTGACAAAGCGAAAGAGCTCGAGCTTGAGGACTTCTTCGAATCGCAGAGAGCTCTTACCCCCGCTGCTAACATCTCTCCCCCCTGAACCTCCAGCGACATTTCCCATCGCAGCGTAGCTGGATACGCTCAGCCCACCAGCTCCGGATAAATCAAAGTGCCTTTTTGCTAGCACCATCAGATTCTTCCAGTGTCGATCGCGTACGGCTGGAGAATGCAAATGCTTGACGAGGGGCAAGATCACTGTCATCTGATGCAGCTTCTGCTCCAGATAGTCATAGATGGGCCATTCCTTCACCCCGCGAGCTGATGCGAACAGAGCATGGCGATGACGCTCGAGTCCATCGACTTCCTCCATCAGCGCGTCAGCATCCAGCTCGTTCCACGGTAAAGGCTGCCACTTGTGGACGTAAATCGAGTCCAGCAGCGCGACAAAGTCCCAGATGTGCTTGAGTGTGGTAAAATTGACACGCAGCGTTGTCAGCACGTCGAACTTGCTGGATGCCAGCTCGAAGATATCTTCCAGTTCCATGAGCCTCGCAGCTTCATGTTCGACTTGATGCAGCTTCGCGTTGTACGCGTCCAGTTGATCATAGACATCAGCTATCGAGCGACTATCAGAGGGCGCAAATAGTGGAGCATTGACCTTGAACTCCTCTTTCAAAGCCGCAAGACGTCGGTTAAAGTCCGCCACTTCCTGCCGAATCGATTCCATCATCTGGTTCTGCAGCGGTTGGATCACCTCCTTCTTCTTGAACGTCTTGTTCACCATATTTTCCCATCGGATTGGCGCTTGTTCTAAGAACGTCAGCACGTTCTCCTTGCCGACGTACGACATGTCCAGCGCAATGCCATTAAGCTTCAGAAGCGCGACGAAATCCTTGAGCGGCGCGAAGTTCACCAACAAATCTTCACGCATCAGATGGCGGACGTCACGGATGTGCAGCATGCACTGCATCAGCTTCTCCTTTTCAGCATTGGCGGCGTCGACCTCGATGTCCAGACCAGCGTTCACCTTCTGCATGAAGCTCTCGACCCACACAAGTTGGTTGACGACTCGATCGTGCAGATACTGCGTAAACAAGTACACCCATTTCGTCACCCACGTCGACAACGCCTGCTTGATCGGGAGGGAGTTGACTCGCACGAAACCCACGTCTTTCACATGTTTCGACTCGGAGATTTCATTCTGGAGGCCAAGGAAGAAGCTGATCTTCTCTTGGAACCGCTCGAGGTTGAGAAGCTGCGCAGGCAAAGGAGGAGGTGTAGCCATGGCAGAGCCAGCAGAGATTGTCGATTTGGGGGTACTTTTCTCAGGCGCTACACCAGATTTAAACGTGCTGGGAGTCGCTGAGGGCGAGCTGTCTGCGTACACGATTCTGCAACGAGAGTTCTGGTCATCTGCGTGCGGATACGGAGACCACGCGGTCGAGAGAAAAGTCTGGAACATCTGCGGCAAGTCGGTCGTCCAAAGATATTCGTACTTTGTGAGCGCTTGGCGGAATGCAGCGCAAGCCTTCTGGTTCTGGTCCAGAAACGACGATATATCTGCAATAAGCAGTTGGATCTGCATGTTCTCTCGCATCTCTTTCAGGTACGTGCCCTCGGAGCTGTCCAACCGCTTGAAGACTGTCGAGCAATGGAGGATTGCTTCCATTCGACGCACGATAAGGTCTTCCATGCCATTTTTCGCTGCTGTGCTCTGGATGGTCGGGAAGTAGACAATGTCTTTGCCGTACAAATCCAACTCAACTTCGAGCAAGGCTGGAATGTCCTCGCTCTCGATACGTTTTGGGTCTAGTTGCTCTCTCAGCTGTCCAAGAGACTGAAGAATCACTCGAGCGAGTCCGTCCTCCACGGTTCCGCTGACGTAGTCGACATAAGCTCTCCAGTCGGGACTCCCTTGAGCCACGCGCAAGTGCTTCAGCGTGTCCTTGAGCAGCCGATGAATCTCATTGCCACCTTCCTTGATCACATGGTACTTTTGTTGGCACAGAGCCTTCTGGAGCTCCTCGAACTCGTCTACCGACAACGCCTTGCTCTTTCGTTCGAACAGCAGCGGCGGTGAATTCCAGATCTCCAGCAACTCAGCGACTCGGTTTTGGTGCGTCTTTAGCTGACTCAACAGGGTGTTGGCCTCGTTCACCACTGTCATGGACTCTTTCAGGAACACGTCGATACCGTGAGACTTCCAGTTCAAGGCCTTGATGCCTTTGTTTAACACTTGGTCCATACGCTCCAGATAGCCCTTGACAAGAGGCTTCTCAACGGGCAGCAACGTCCAGTGGATGGTGTTGTACATATCGACAATGAGCTCCAAGTTTCCTGTCTGGCGTCGGAACACTTCAGCGCGTTTGTAGATCTCCAACGCATCCTCGGGGATGTCCAACCCAAGCAACAGGAAATATTTCACTTCACGCAGCAGCTGCACTAAAGCAGCATCGAAGTTGACGAAAAGTAACCCTGTTGTGCTGGGTTGAGCTGCCCCTGTTTGCGGTTGCTGTCCTTTGGGCCCTGAGCTTGTAGTCGTATCAGCAACGGTAGACCCCGGAGCAGGCTCCCGTCTGATCAGTGGCAGCTTGAGCTTGGCCTTCGACGAAGTCTCGATTGAAATGCCCCATTGCTTGACGTTCTGGACCTCGTACTCCTGCAGCATCGCCATCACGTTCGTGTACAGCTTCATGGCTTCTTTCGAATCCTCTCGCTCGAGCACAATCCTGGGGGAGATTTGCTTCAGCTTCTCCATGGGGAATCTAATACGCTCGCCGAGTCCTCGACACCACGTGACAGCACCAGCGAACGGCGGGAGGTTGGGAGATATCGGCGGATGCTCTCGATTCTCGATGAATATCTGCTGCACCACATGCAGGTCGCTCGCATACGATGCGATAAGTGACGTGTGCTTCCGCTCCAGCTCGTTCTTGATGATCTGTCGGTCGAGTAGATCTTCGAAGCAGTCCAAGCACTTGAAGCGTCCCACAATTGTCTTGGCATCGTCGAAAGCCTGGTTGATCACCGAAGCTAGACGTCGCTCCAGCTCCTTGTTCTTGGAGCGAAAGGCGTAGAAATCGTCCTCAAAGTGCTTGGCATCCAAGTCCATAAGGTCGTACTGAACGCTCTTCATCTGCGCCAGAGTTTCTTGAAAGTCCGCGTAGATCTGGTGCACGCTTGTCGTGAGTGTTTTCCCCTTTGTACCTCCGATCTCCACCTCGGCGAGCTTTTGGAATTGGTAAATAGTCTGCGTCAGCTCCAGAACATCGTGGCACCTCTCGAGAAAAGCATCAAGGCGGATAAACAAGGCGTTGTTCTGGATTCGCCACGGATTGCCTGGCACCTCAGTCACAGACTTGGCCTTGTAGTCAAAGTAGACGCTCTTGAAGTGAGCACACACTTGTAGCGACATTTGCAGCATCCTATTGGCCTGTTCCAGCTCGCCTTGGTCAATCAGCTCGAACAGCTTGTCGCCATTCAAGTGCGTCATCGCCTTCCTGATGATTTCGTTGCAGATCTGTCGAATCAACACAACGAGTCGCGCTGGCGTGTTGTAGAACCGACTGGACTTCCAGATCAGCAGAATCGAGTGGCAGATTGGTCGGAAGAGATCTCGGATCTCTGGCAGAGTTGATGCACTCGCCAGTTGCTCGAACCACTTGGCTAAAGGCCACAGGTAGTGCTTGTTATCGTTAGCTTCAGCTCTGGCCAGGAAAACTTCCTTGCACAGCTTCGCAAACGGGATGTTGTAGGTGCTCTTGGACGCGTCCAGATACTGCAACACCTTGCGAATACTGTCAGACTGCAGCTGGGCGAAGATCGAGTTGAGGTTCTTGGCCTTAGCTGCCCAAAAGTGCAGCTCTTCCATGGGGCCTTGATGTGCGTGGTCGCGTTGGTTCAAGAGCGCTTCAGGGTCTTGTTTGAGGATATTCTTGATCTGCTTGGTCCACGTGATGAGACAGCCCTCCAAGCTATGCACTTGATCCTTGCCAAGACCCCCCATGGCGTTGAAATCTGTCTGACCCCTTGACGAGAACGAGAGCGAGTTGGAAGCGTCTCCTTTGGGTGAGGACTTGGCCACGCTCTCTATAACCGCCTGATCCCAGGGCAGTGGGAGGCACGTGGCGCCTTTTGTCTGTCCCAGAGTGATCTGGAGGCTGGAGAAGAAGCCGTGGACGTTGTTAATTATGGACGTTGTGACCATCTCAGGCCACATCTGCTGGTTGCGCGGGTTCCCAATGAGCGGAACGAAGACGTCGCGCAGCATCACAGCCAGAGACTCGAGTGCGTTTTTCTCTAAAGTGCCCGACAGAATTTCTTCGTGGAATTTGGTCACGCTGATGGATCCTTTGACTGTCTTAAGCAGATACAAGACGGTGACAGGCGGTCGGTTCTTGCTCTTGGAGGCGTCTCCGAAGAGGTGCGCGGGTGGCGTTGAGTACACGTCCACGACGCCACTAGATTCGTCTCCATGGTCTGTGAACAGAAGTAGTCGCGCATCGGGAACGTGTAGGAAGTCGAAGATTCTCGAGGCCACCGAGTCTGTCGCGAACTTGCGGTTCAGCGCGTCGCTCTTGACGCCAAGGAACGTACGCACTACATGACGACGGATGAACCCAAGCCGCGCGTCGTCTGGAGGCGCCCCTGGCTCCCGCTCCGACGTCAGCGCCGTGCTCGAGCTGGCCCACACCCTGTCCGTCTCCATGCCTGCGCTGTAATAGGAGTGAAAGATCGCAGCGCCGCTTTGGCCAGCCGCATATCAATAAAGACAGACGTCTTGAAACATATAATAGATGTCCATGGTTATAATCGTCTACCGAGCCATCCTGGCGATAATGGGTTGTTCTTACAAAAATGCTGAGATTTAATAAAACCCGCAGACACTGTCTCTTTTTGGTCGTGGGTGGGCTAAGACTCTAAGCCTGCTCGCATTCTACTGGCCCGCAGCGCTTGGCTCTCACTTCAGTACCAAGATCTGCGAGCAGGAGACTATGGCCAAGGCGGTGTGCACTCTCTACGGCGACGACGCGACCGTGTACGGCTCGCTTGTGATCACTCAGGCGCACGAGGACGCCAAGACCGTCGTCACGGGCGAACTCAAGGGTCTCTCGCCCGGCAAGCACGCGCTGCACGTGAACGCTTTCGGTGACGTGTCGCAGTCGTCGGGCGCTGCGCTGGGCGGCGTGTTCAACCCCTTCGGCAAGAACCACGGCGCCCCTGAGGACGCTGAGCGCTGCGCTGGCTCGCTGGGCAACGTGGAAGTGGGCGAGGATGGCAACGTCAAGGTTCATGTGGAGGACAAATTGGTGAAGCTTATCGGCCCCCACTCGATCATCGGCCGCAGTATTGTGGTGCACGACGGTGAAGACGACCTAGGAAAGGGTGGCCACGAACTTTCGCTGCAGAACGGCAACGCTGGCGCAATCAAGGCTTATGGCGTCGTGGGCATCTCCAGCTAGACGGTTGCAGCCAGAATAAAACAGGGCTGGCTGATGCTGTACCGACGTGTTGAGGTTATAAAATAGGTAACACGGCGGAATGCAGGCAATTTTTTCGCCTCTGGGCGACGTGTTTGCTGTAGGGTGAATGCAGAAGCTATTGTCTTTGTTTCTTCTCACCTTGGTTTAGTTCGAGTCTAGTGCTTGCTACCTTGTTCGTACGCTACTGACTGTCTACACAAGCGCTGCTAGAGCTCAAACCCACAGAACTCAAGCTGTAATGCTGCTGCGCTTCCTCTCGTAGACCTTCTTGGACGTCTTCTCGGGGACGGGAGACGGCGGCGCGCCATCGGACGCGTTGGATTGGTTGTCGCCCTTGCGGCTCTTGCTCTTCTTCTTCTTGCGCTGTAGCGCCTCCACCACGAGCTCCAGTTTACGCAAGTCATGTGCCTTCTGGTTGGCTTCCAGCTTGGTGCGTGCCAGCTCCTCCTCCATATCCTTGAAGCGCTGACCACGTTCAGTCTCCTGGTAATTGTGTACGTCCGTCAGACGCTGCTCCAGTCGCTGCTTCTCGCGTGTCAGCTCCTTCATTTGCGCGCGCAGGCGGTCTGTCTTCATTGAGGCCTCCAGTAGCTGCTCCTTGCTCTCGTCCGTGAGTCGAGCCACTTCGTCCAAAGGCACAAAGTCCTTGAGGTCCATCACAACCGGCGGCAGGGCTTGTCTCGCCTCCTCCTCCGCTTTGGCTCGCGCTTCCTCTTCAGCTTGACGACGCGCATCGATCAGCACTTGCTCCATCCTCGGTACTTCGCCCAGCAGTAGCGCCTGGAATCGCTCAGCGTAAGACAGCTTGGTCGTCGCTGATATATCATCACTGACTGCTACACTCTTGTCGTTACTCTCGTCTTCCAGAGCCAGGATTCCAGGCTGCTTGTCGTGTGCTGCAGGCTGCTGCTCCGCCAGCATCAAGACACTGACCACAGCGTCAATGACGCGCTTGCCCATGGCGTTATCCACCTGCTGCACAAACGGATGACCGAGTCTCATGTACTGGTTGAACAGGATGCGCACCAACGCGACGAGTCCTGAGCGAGAAGCCAAGCTCTCCGTCATATCTGCCAGGTAGCGCGTTACTCTCGACGCATGCTTGACGCTCAGATACGACTGCACGAGCTGTTGGCCAGTGTAGGCCGCAAAGGTCTTCAGCAGATGCAGCTCCAAGTCCGACTGGCTGGAGTTGGCCACCATCGAGTCTTCTGGCGCGTCGGCCATCACAACCAGTGCCGTGGAACCGCCACGGGACGACGGAGGCGGCGGCACCTCGTCGGTCGGCAGCGTCATCATGATGGAGCTTAGTCGAACGCTTTCCTCGTCTGTAAGTCTCGGTTGCTGCGTCCGGGACACGACGGAGAGACACGATGAAGACGCGAACACTTTGGGCTTTGAGAACAGGAATGCACGACAAATTGCCAGACAATGGACGAGCTCGGTGTGCGTCTCTTAGGGTGCGCCGAGGTGAAAGGGTGCGTCGATGCTGTCACGGATATTGGGATCAGATTCGGTGGTCGACAAATGGCTACATGACCCGTTGTTTTAGCCTCGTCTCATGTCCAAGCTGACCAGGAGACCACAATACAAATTGACATTTCAGCTAGAGCACGACCGGTAGATGCGGTGTGTGATCGAGAGCTCGGGGGTGAAACGCACTCGCTAATTCGAGTTGGTCAGCAAAAATACATCGGAATTACAAGTGGCACGATCTCATGCCTTTGCGTCAAGCCACAAACCTGTGATCGTTCGGCAACACTGCTTGGGCAGCAGCGTAACTATCGCACGTTGCCAACGTCCCACCCTCATCGAAAAAGTCGTTTGAAACTCACGCAGAGTTTCCGCCGTTCTCGACGTCTCCATTCCTGAACACACCAAGCTCGGCTCAAGCCCGACTACTACGGCCCCCAATTCACTCAAGATGCTCAAGTCGTCTCTGCTCGCGATCATCATGACGGCAGCTGCCACCACGTCAACAAGTGCCGTCACCTGCGCGGATGGCGATAATCAGATGAGTGTGGAGGGCGTTGAAGGTATTTTCTGCGTGGCTGGAGACCCTTGCCTCGCCACCTTCAGCATTGGCGCTTGTCCTCCATCCCAAGAGGGTCTACCCTTTGGATCCTACTGCGGCGTCGTCGCGTCCGGCGTCTACGGCTGCAAGACCTACACCAGCGCCGCGACGGATATCCCCACACCCGAGGTCACTACCGAAGCTCCAACGACGGAGCCCGAAACTGAGGCACCCACAACAGAGCCAATGAAAACTGCTCCCGTTCCAATCGCCCCGTACAGTAACTGCACGCTGGAGAGCACTGAAGCAAGCGTACAGGGTCTGGAAGGCGCCTTCTGCGTCAACGAGCCGATCTGCGTGAAGCAGGTTTCCACGGGTAACTGCCCCGCTCCTCAGGACAGACTGCTGTTCGGCTCCTTTTGCGACCTGCTCCCGACGGGTGTCTATGGCTCGACGCCGTATACAGCGGACAACGTGCCGACTACCGCGACGTATGAGGCTCCTTTGGATTGCTCCAACAACCCTGCAGGAGACACGCCTGTGAGTATCGTGAGTGCCAACCAAGACTTCTGCGCTTCGTCGCCGATTTGCTCTGGTACTATCTTCGGCAATTGCCCCAAGATTCAGGACGGACTAGTGCAAGACTCCGAGTGTATGATTATCGAAACGGGCGTATTTGGGTGCGTGTTCATGGCCAGCACCTAAGTGACAAGGTAGTGCTTTACACTTCAAGATGTAACGAAGAACCATGTAGGCTGAACGAGGATATCCTTTAAATGAATGATTGACACGCTCGTTATTATAGTATGCTATCCACGTCTCAACAAGCACGACCTCTTCATCTTCTTCAAAAGGTCGGGCTCTCCACGGATACTACCTGGTAGCTTACTTAGACTTGCAAGTCGGGCACTTGCAGTTCGTGCAAGGGCAATTGCCTCTCAACGGACAGTCACACGAAGGACAGGTTCCTCCTCCAACTGCGTTTTTATCAGCTTTGCCACCACACTTAGTGCACTGGCACTTACCAGCGGGACACTCACATCCCAAGCACCCTCCAGTCGCAGCACGTTGGGCAGCAGCAATACACCCACCACCACACACAACTATCGCCGACGTGGCGGACTTGATTGGAGGCTCGATCTCGTTCGCGGCTCCAGCCTTGCTAGCGCAAACTTGACATTGACAGTCCTTGCACGAGCATTTGTTCGCCACCGACCCGCAACTCTTGCAACATCCATGGCTCTGGTGCTTTCCCAGTTTGTCTTTCATACTCTCACCGAGCTCGTTCGAATGCGAGCTGTCGCTGCTGGAAGGGCCCCCAGTCTTGTCTTGTCCTTCGTGGTCTGGAGACTGGAGGTGCGTGTCACGCACTGGAGCACCCAACCCAGGCGGATCTTCCTTCAGATTGTGCTTGACATTGGTCATTGTTCCGATCGCCATCTTTTTGAAAAGTGAGCTCATTAGGCCGTCGCATTATGGTCGTAGACGTCGCCGTGGGTGATGTTTCCATTCTTCTTCGTCCTTCGCAGACGTCGCTCCCATATGCGACGGTGGCTAGCTCAGTCGTCATGGTCGTCAAAAGCTGGCTTACAACAGTAAGTTGGAGCGTGCCACTCCAACCGTGAGACTCGTTGCAGAATTCTTTTCATTTGTTTGCAGTTGAACAAACTGCAGCTCCTACATATATAATATAAAAAACTGGTCGGCGACGTGCTTCTCTGCGATTTTGCTACTGTCTTCGCCGCTTCTTTCCAATGTTTGTCAGCTCCTATTGCTTCGGTGTATCCCAGTTCTTCTTGAACGCATGCTTTCGTAGATGGATCACGATGATTTTATTCTCCTCTGCGTCTCACCACCTATCATTCCACCGTCACACTCCGCACTCTTCAGCCACAGCCACTGCTGTCGTCACTTAGTGCAGTAAGCCGCACTTGCACTGGCCACCGGGGCTGCCACAGCTAGCGCACTTGGTGTGCTGCACACCGCCGCTGCCGGGGCTGCTGGAATCATGCCTGCTCGGATGCTCGCTGGACGAGCTCGTCTGCTGTCTCGTCGAGTGTTCATCTGCCATCTTCTCCCCAGCCGTCTCTGACTTCGCATGTTCGCTCGACATCTTTTTGCCAGTCGTCTCCTTACTAGCGCACACGGCACAATTGCAGCCTTGGCATGAACACTTGTCCGGCGGACAGCCACAGCCTCGACAGGTCTCACGCTTGGAGCAGCACGAACGGCACTTACAATCCTCACACGAACAATTTTCCGCCGACGACTTGCAACTCGTACAATCACCACGATGATTGCAGCACAGTCGACACTTGCAATCCTTGCACGTGCACTCTCTCGCTGTAGAGCCACAAGTCAGACACACATCGTGCTTGCTATACTCTTTTTTCGCCGTCTTCTCGCACTTGTGCTTACCACCGCCACGACCCAAGAAGTGTTCCAACTTCTTCGCCGCCATGCAGCGTTTCAGATGCGCCATCTCCAGAGCCGATTGCGCCCAAGCCACACCGTGGTTGCACTTCTCGTCCTCACCGGAACCGCACGAACGCTTCTCCGCACACGAGTGAGCTTGCGACTCGTTATCGCAGCACAGCACTCCGTAAATGACAGGCGTATCGAACGTCACGTTCAGCTTCATGATGCCGTTGGCCACGGCGTGACTCATCGTCTCGCACGTGTGCGTGGAGTCACTCACGAGGCAGCCGATGCAAATAACAGCGTCTGGCCGGTGGCTCGTATCCTTGCAGTGGACCAGCCGAGCAGCGGCAAACGGTAGCTCAAATGCACCCGCCACCTCCACGACGTGGAGATCATCCTCCGCCACTCCCTTGGCCAGTAACTCGTCCGAGCATGCGTCCACCAGCGAGTGTATCACCTTCTCGTACCAGCGGCTCGCGACAATCGTGACTTTGAGCCCACTACCATCGAGTTGGCGAGACTGGGCGGCACCAGGCTGCTCAATGAGCACAGGACGATGAGTAACTTCAGTCTTGTCTTCTGTTTCGCGGCCGTGTGATCCACCTTGATCGTGAGTAGCACCAACCGGGTGCTCCTCCTTCGTCCCAAACTTCAACTTGGACGTCAACTTCTCAACTCCAGGCGCCATCGTTTGTCACCAATGAGCTGCAAATTCAAAACTGACCACGAAGAAATGATTCCTTCTCCAGCTTCAACATGCTTTTTGTGCGACGCGGCGAGCCTTTCACCTCCGTAGTTGACGTAGGCTGCAGCCGTACCGTTAGTATGGGATGCGGCACTTGTCTTGCTTGACCTTGGTGGAATGACCATCAAACCGTTGCTTCCCTTCCTGGCGAGCTCTGCTCCAAAATAATTGCAGACGAGTGCCGTGAGTCCACTCATCGCCGTCGCCGAAGCTGCTACGGCTTTCCAAAATTCAATTTCATGCCGTCGAGCTGAACTGTCGATCCCTTTTTGCGCTCCTTAGTAAAAACAACCAGTCCGCTTCAGCCTGTACGGTTGCTTAGACCACGTTATAAGCTCAACGCACTACCTATTCCAGCCTCCAAAAAAAAAACTTCGTCGCTTCCCATTCTCATTATACGACACCCTCCCCGTACCTCTTCTCACTTGTCGCAGCCTTCTTCTCTATGGGCAACCTAATCTGTAGCGAGGAACTTGACACCGTCCTCCTCACATGTTTCTCCAGCGATCACCGCGGCCTAGCAGCATCCAATTATCAGATCTATTAAATAGCAGAAATATCCCAAAGAGCCACAATAGCCGCACCTTTCCTTCCCCTTCCAACACCGTTAGTGCCTCACGCAGCAGCCAGGGCTCCATCCCGTGGATATCTGCGTCAAACCCGCACACAAAGGTCAGCACCCCTCCTTCAATCTCCCTAATTATCTGGCAAACTCACTTGTGTCGAGCGTTTCCTCCCCCGCGTACAGCTCATAGACTGTGAACACGTTGCCCACCATGCCGTGTTCTTTGGCCTGTATTGGATACGCCATTTCACAGCAACAAGACTATCAATGTTGCACCAATCATTTCAATCCACTCAGTATTCCACGAACAAAGTCGTAGATCTCGACAGCCCATTCGGCGGGCTTCTTCCACATGATACGACAGCGCATTTTGGTGTCATCTTCCCATCGGCCGTGTCCGCAGCGGATCAGGTGCTCCACCACAGCCATGCGTCCATCCTGCGCCATGTTCCTCGAGATTTTTACGTTCTCAAACAGTGAGGAGGCCAGCGGCTGGAAGAGCGGCTGTTCATGCGCGCGGTGGTACTCGAGGATAAGCTGCTGCCATAATACAAGCTGCTTCTCGCGTGTGGCACGCACAGGCTGCAGCGTGAAGAACGGGGGAACGTCGGAGGTATTCCGAGTTCCGTATATTCTGTTCCTTGTTAAAAAATTGCTTACTATAAATGATCCATAAAGGTCAGAGTTTCAACATGGCTACAGATTGCATGTATCATCAATTTTTCCTACATAAATACAGTACATGTACAGCATTTCTTCGATCACTGCACTACTAACTGTAAAAGCCGAAATCGTTACTGTCACACTCGCAACATCGTACTCTTAAAAGCTACGTGATCTTGGATGTTTCGACTGCACAGTTTAGTCCAAGCCAGCGACAAACAAACCGGTAGGCCTCCCAATGCAGCTACAAATAGTCCAAATATGTGCAAGTCGTCGAGAATTATACCCTCCGTTGCGAAATATTCATGTTGGCGGATGGTGTTACGCTCACCAGGACCTTGCGCCCCGACGAGTGCTTGGCCTTGGAGTTGGCACAATAAACCTCAAGGACACTACATTCTCAACGAAGGTAGCCAATTGAGCCGTCCTGCGCTATTAGTGCTTGCTCCAGTACGAAAGCTGCATCCTTGATTGATCCTAGCAGCTGCACAAGAGACGGCAGGATGTCTACCGTGTTCTCAATTTCTGGCGATCCGTTTGCTTGATCCGTCCCAATCAAAGCAGATACGGCAAGGAAGAAGCAAGCGCTGGCCCAGCAGCTGCGACCTTAGAGCTGCTCCTTCTCCACCCATCCCCAACAAGTGAGGAAACACGTACTGCAGAGTTGATTGCGATATGGTCACATTGACTGATGCCAAAGCAGTGATGAAGTCCTCGGATATTGTTGTCATATGCTCTAATCGGAACTGCAGGTCGTCAAAGTATGTCGTGTAGCGCTTCCACTGCTCAACTAGCGCGTCAACACCTCGCAGTTCTCCAAGCATGATGTCCTCCGCCATTGAGGACCGCAGGAAAACGAGTTGTTGCTCGGCTTCCGATTTTTGTAGCCATGACTCTGGACCGGAGGAGACCTTCTCGTACCAGCGACTGCCTTGGCGAAAAAGATGAAAATACTCAACAACGACAGGCCACGCGCTTGGTTTGGCGTTGGAACTTAGCCGGCTGTGCTGCATTTCCAGCATCGGAATCTCTTGCTGAAGTTGCCCCGCGGTGATTTCGAGATCCTTCGCGTACTGTATTTGCTTCTGCCTGTAGCGAGCTTAGTTCGTGCGACACTGTTCTCGCCGTCGCGGCGTTTTGATTCGAATGCGCTTGCGTTTGGGCTTCGGGATACCCGGAGCAAATGTGAATAGTTTTGACAGAGGGCACTGTTCTAGAAGCTCGCTTCGGGCGTGGTTGTGTCGGACGCGAAGAAAAGGCAACGGATCTCACCGGCTCATCTGCGGGCGCTGGCCGGGCAGGCATTCGAGTCTCGTGCGAGACCGGACTTGCGCTCCTCGACATAAAGACAGCCACATTGTTTTTCCTTTCAGACAATGACGGCTCCCTGATGTACTCAAGTGGAGTTTGTTGAGGCGATGCGGACACGTCAAGCGCGATCTGCATTGTCGTGATAGAAGGTAAAGCTGCTAGGAGCGGCGGGATCTTTGCAGTCTCTGTATCTGAGAACACACCACCTCCACCGACGGATGCTCGCGGTTGAACGTGGCCAATCACGTTGGAAGTAAGAAAGCGCGACGAGTTGGTCGGCTCGAAGCGCGCGAAGATGCTGGAGACGCGGTCCATCGGGTCTGCGCCTATTGAGAGTCTGTCAGAATCAGGAATGGGCGTACGCTGCAACAGGTGATACCCACCGAGTAGGCCCTGTTTAACTGTGAATTCGAGTGCATACCGGTATACTTTAAGCGTTGAATGGACTGGCATGAAAATGTCACAATTGTAGCTGGCGTACTGTATGGCGCAGTAGACAACGCTCATAAAGCCGTACCGCTCTCTCGGTCACTTGCACTTGGACATCACGTCCTTAATTAGGAAGTGGCCCCGGAACCAACCGTACGCAACGAATCAGACTCAGATCATTCAGATTAACTCACGCGACTAGTTCTGAATCGTGGTCAAAGTCAGATTAACTCGCGCGAGTCTCCGCCGAGTTTGGTTCGGCTGAGCTCGTTCACAACCCTGTGCCCTCCACCAAAGGATGGACGACGGCGCGCGAGCGCTTTTACAGGTCACCGAGCGCAGAGGCTGCTCAGCTAGAAGTGTTACGGCACCCGGGCTATCCGACGTACCGGCCCGCTGAGTATGCGGGGCTTTCTTTCGCGCGTAGCGAGACTTTGTCCTACCCGGACCGACCTAATCTCTTGGCGCTACCAGTGAATACCCTACAAGCTATGCCTCTCGAGTATTGACGGCAGGCATAATCCAGCCCGATGCAGGGACTTACCGGAAAAGTGTACACGTGTCTTGGACTAGGAAAATTCTGCTCTGTTATCTTCTGGGAGCCCTTTCGCTCCCCCTATTTAATCCTATGCTTCTCATACAAATATCTAGTGAAATGTAGTCGTTTCGGATCTCTACCGACCCTTCAGCCGACCGTTGAGCTCAGCGGCTATCCGGATAGCATATCCGGACAGATCGCCGAGTACTTACCGTGATCCTTTGCTCCTAAGCTCTGGGTTATCAGACCGAGCCGATTCTTGACCTATAGTAGGTTGGCGTATGGTCGAATCTGGGAATCCCTACACCACATAAGTGTCCTTTGGATAAGGAACTTTATATTAGTGACTCTTTGAGTCGAACGTCTTCCTCTGACGCTAAAGCTACGGCAGCCCCGCTGCAACCTGGTACCGTGTATCAGGTGTCTACAAGAGTGACGGGTTACTCTTTATGTAACATGGGGTACACTGAATTGTACCCCGTTACATCCCCCACTAAGGATTCTCCAATCAGAAGTGAGAATTAAAACACCCAAAGGTGAATTCTCACACTGAAACTGACGTGGCTCTCAGTCACACCTACAGTGATTTGTGCTGCCAAAGCTCACTGGGATTTGCATCCCTATGCTCACAACTGTGTTGGCCACAAAGCCTACACTCAGAGCTGCCTTAGCTCCTGCGCTAGCGCGCGTACAGTGCTTTGCCACTGGGTGCAATAGCGTCGGAACGTGTGGTATTCGCCCACATTTCGCACCAGAGGACACGACAGTTTTCGCGAACGCGTCCGGAGTATGGTGTCTCCCGCGAGGGACGACACCGAGAAGGGCAACACCTGCCCCAGCACTAGAGGGAGCTCTCAGCTCACCTCGGGTCATGCCTTTGGCTTCAGCAAGGATCCATCCTTGCGGGGGGAGCTTCTGCCACGCTCTCTTCGCGCCTTGGTCGTCATACCAATGGCGCGTAGGTGTCCTTCATAGACACCGTGTACCGTGACGGTACACAACCGTGGTGTAGGTGTCTCCCATCACCATGTACCGTCCAGTACTACCGTCTTACCCCGCATACAAGGAATATGTGTTCTAAATAAATACGGGATTCGCTCAGGCACATTAACTTAAAGCACTTCAACCACGCCGACTTGCGTACTCAAACAGGTGCTGGATGTTATGTCAGAGTGACAAACTAGAATGCAGCTCTGAGAAAGAAACATATCAGAGCGCAGTGTGGCAGCACACCTGGGAAAGCTCAAACGAGCGTTAGAAAATGGTAAATTGGACAAAATGTTACTTTCAACATGGACGAAGCACATTTTGGCATCACTACGGACAAGACCCACTGCGATACGTCACACTCGGTACATCGTCAGGAGCGCTGGATAGCTACAGTTTTGATTCTGGCCAATCATTATAGCTGGGTCACTGCGAACAACCCTCGTGACAGAAGACAAGTCGTATATATGGGCAATAGAAGCGGTCATAAAGTGGAGGAGTGTGACGATATTTTGCCATCGAAGAATACAGAAGTTCCTGCCGCTTAATTTAACGCATCTTTGCCAGCCAGCAGATTATTTTAAGCTTTTATTTTGAAAAAAAATAATACCTTTTATAAATACGCTGGCTGAAATAAGTATTTTTGTCACTCGGAGATTTAGGTGATGTCACACTAGTTTTTTTACCTCAAGAATATGATTGTCGCCAATCACAAAATGAATACGGTACTTTTAAGTAAATTTAAGATTCGCTGTTCAATGACACTTTTGGTGTGTAATTACGCAAGGGCATTACAGTCGTGCACCTCCAATTCGGCACCGGTATCAGTCGATACCCTGCCAGATTTATGATTACGCAAATCGGATGCGCAATTACCTTTGCCCATCACCACCCCAGCAATTAACCTCAACAGTTTTCCCCCTCCTCGGCGAGGGGAGGCACGCCCGCATCGATCTGATTTTAAATTTGGATCGGACGTCTACTTACAAACACACATTTTGATTTTTACCGCCAAAGACAATGGGATATCGCCCTTCCTCCTACATGTCCCACAAAAGCAGTCTTTGTGCGAGAAGCACAAGTCAGATCCTGCATGCTCTCACTCCGAACTTGCTCGTTGGGCCCAAGCAGTAAAGCGCACTACCGTCCAGAGTATTCTTAAGCGGTCCGCGGTAGTTGCCGCCTTGCCGGACGCCTATCGCGACCGGAAGCGCTGTTGCGCGCCCGCGATTCGCGCGTCTGACGCCAAGATTATGCAGAAGTTTGGCGTAAATTTTATACTGAATTAACAAATCAAATATCAGTGCACTGGATTTGCGTTTGTTTTTTGCTTTACGTTGTGCACTTATGCCCTGGCACTGTTGATATGGTCCGCCCTGCCGAATTGGAGGTGCACGACTGTACCGGTACTGTAGTGTGGGTGCGCTAATACCGAACTTCAAGTAACTCACACTACGTCGATTCAGAGCTAGATAGCTCGCATGAAAATGAGCAGAATAGCAAACACGTTTAGTGTAAG